ATGATGATGGTGATGATGACGATTATGATGGTGATGATGCTGCTGCTGCTGCTGCTGGTTGATGATGCTGCTGCTGATGATAATTATGATGATGAGGAGGAGGCGGAGGAGGAGGAGGAGGAGGAGGAGGAGGAGGAGGAGGAGGAGGAGGGACGGCCACCACCACGACGGCCATGGCCACCACCAAAACGACCGCCGCCACGATGACGCAACGACCGCCCCTCGACGCCCCCCTGGCCCCCCTTGCCTCCTTCCTCCCTGCCCGGGGTTCAATTAAGCAATCCAGTCTATTAAGGCAATCGAGCTACAATCTCTGCCCGGGAGCAATTAGTCCATTAGCCCATTAAGCAATATACCAATCCAGGGGCCACGTGTGCCATGAGAGACGTGCGCCGCGATGTGCGCCAGGAGCGCCACTAGGCCCAGCCTCAAAGAGACCAGGCCCGTGCGATGTTTGAGGCGGACTCCAGGGCCATCACCCCAAGGGGTCCCCCTGTGTGATGGGGGTGGGGACCCAACCGGGTGCCCCAGGCTGGGGAGGGGGGGAGAAGGGAGGGAGGGAGGGAGGGAGGGCGAGGAGGAGGAGGAGGAGGAGGAGGAGGGGGAGGAGGGGGAGGAGGAGGAGGTACCAAGAGATATCAGGAAGCGCACCACGGTGCGGCCACCACGTCGGGAGATGCTCACCGCGGCGAGGTAACAATCATTAGCGCTCGCGGGAGCGCAGCACGGCAACAGGCACTACAGGGGGCGAATGCCGCCGAGTTGGAGAGATGTGAAGGCCGAGTCAATCCGACGAGCCTGAGTCAAAGCTGTCCTGTGACGGTTGCTGCTCGTCGCGAGAAGGCTCGGCGAGAGGTCTGGGCCCGCGCACATCTTCGAGCCGACGCGAACGCGGGGCCGCGGAACGAGGGGCACCACAAGGAGCCACGGACGCCGACGGTACCCGCTGAGAGGCCGGCTCGCACGGGTGCCCGACAAAAGATCAGCCACGGGCCACGGCGGGCGCCGCTCTGCCAGCCAGGGCAGGCAACGTCAGCTCGGGACCGACCGACGCTGCCACTGCCCGAAGGACGGCTGCATCTCCGAGCCGTCCGTCCAGGGGGGGAGGAGGAGGGGGAGGAGGGGGGAGGCTGGGAGGAGGAGGAGGAGGAGGAGGAGGAGGAGGAGGAGGAGGAGGAGGAGGAGGAGGAGGAGGAGGAGCAGGAGGCGTGCCCGAGGCACGCGGAACCTCGGCCCCAGGAGGCGGCGTCTGCTGGGCGAGCGACTCGGATGCAACGGCCGCCGCGCGGGCCTCGGCAGCCACGGCAGCGTGGCGGCCAGCCCTGACGTACGAGGTCCGCCCACCGCGTCCAGCGTGGGCTCGTGTGTGCTCACCGCGATCGACCTTCGCGAGATTCCCGCGGCCTTTCTTGGTGATGCCAGTGCATTCGGCCGCGAAGTGGCGATTTCGGCATACAATGCAGGCTGTGAGACGCATGGGGAACCACGTCCGCACGCCGCCACGGGGGAGTCGGCAGGGACGTTCCCGTCGCTGGCAGTGGGTGCGGCGGCGCACGCCAACGCCACCGCACGGGGGGGGTGCCGCACGCCACTGGGATGCGGCTCCGATCGCCCGAGTCCCCGCACGCAGTGCACCCATACTTGCTGCGGCAGGGCTCGTACTCGTGTGGCTGTCCTGGAGGGCCCGCTGGAGCCTGCGCGGCCCCTTCGCCTTGGCCGCCGAGGCTCGCACACGCACACAGCCGGGGGTCCGCCGCCGTGGGAATCAGCCGAAGCCCTGCGAGCTCTGCGACGAATTAACGCACACTGCGTAACGTGCAGGTCGGTGGGTGGGGCCTCGCCCACCAGAGCTCTCTGCCAAGAAATACGCGCGGCCTCGCCAGCCCAAGCGCCGACGCGCACGCGTTTCCAGTCCTGAGGAGCGCCTTGCGGGGGTTTCGGGGAGGCCCCGCAATCTCTTCACTGTGTGAGGGGGTCCACTCTACCTTTATGTCGGGCGTGTTCCCCTACAGGGGGATTTTCGACGAAAAATTATGAATACCCCAAACATGCCCCAAAAAGGCCAAACAAATACTCAAAAAAATAGTCCCCAGACTATTTTTGGACTATTTTTGGACTATTTGTTGGGGGGTATCTTTAATTTTTCGTCGAAAATCCCCCTGTACGGGGACACGCCCGACTTAACTCTACCTCGGCTTCGCCAGCACCTCTGGGCTGAAGAGCACGGGCCCTGGCATCGCTCGGACGTGTGCGTTTTTTCCTCGGCGAGGACCATCGAGGAGCATCCTTGACCATTTGGCGAAAAAAACCACGCACGAAACCGAACAAAAACGCAGGGAATGGACGTCCGAGCGATGGCCAGGGGCGGTGCGCTGCCACAGGTCAGCGTCACAGCGCCCGCGCGCGGCCGCTCCTGCCGACCGGCCCGCCAGCCCGAGAGCAGCGGCCGGTGGCGCACAGGACGCGGCCAGCCGGGCTTTCCAGCGCGAGGGCAAATAGGGGAACAACAAGTGACATAAACATAAATGGGAGGAGCTAATAGGGGAGCAAATAGGGGAGCAAATAGGGAGCAAACAGCAAACTCGGAGGTCCGCGCGGATTTCGCTGGGGCCCCCTGGCGGCGCCTCCGGCGCCAGGGAGGGGGGTCCAGCGCCGATCCGAGAAATCCGCGCGGACCGCCGAGTTTTATGTTTATGCCATTTGTTGTTCCCCTAGCAAGAGCCGCGAGCTCTGCTCGAGGCACGGTCTGAGGTGTCAAGCAGTGGCGAAGCGTCCTGGCTCGCCTATAGTCCCACCAAAGAATGTTCCAAGAACCTTTTGTGGTCCGTGCGGAATGTTCTTAGAACAGTTCTGGCTGGGACTGTCTCGTTTTGACACATCGGGCTTATGTTCTAAGAACACGGTTTTTGTTCTTAGAACATGTTTGGGTTCTAAGAACGTGTCGTGGTAGGACCATCGGAATGCCGGGACGGTCGGTCCCTGCTCAAAAGTGGGCCCTCCAGGCCCGAGGGGAGACCGCCTCCGGGTTGCCGTCGGCCCCGATGGCGCTTCGCAGCGACGGCAGCCGACCCCCCGCGGCGACGGCGTGGATCTTCGCTGAACAGCCCGCCGGACCCGTCGCCGAAGATCGCGAGGAGGCCGTCGCTGTCCCTGCACTCCTCCCAGTCCCGCCCAACCCAGCTCCGCCCACCGCCCCCCCCCCCCGAGTCAGAAAAGACAGGGTGCGTGTCAGCGCGAGCGGGGACGCCTCGAAGGCAGCAGGTCGGCAGGGCCTCTGCGGAAGCTAGGGCCGACGGCATCCAAGCATCAGGCTTGTCGTAGTCCTCGTGCCCCCTCTTGCATGGGCACAGCCGCGCCCGATGCGCGAGGTCCTCCGCTGCCTCGCCGCGTCGTTTGCGGGTGATGTCGATATCGCAGCCCGCCTCCGCCATGCGAGCCCTCGTCAACTGGCCGCCAGGCGCCGCGCGCGAGTCGTGGGCCCAGAGGTCGTGGTGGCCGTCCCTGATGAGCTTGTCCATCTCGAGCGACGTGTTGCCCGCGTCAGGTCCGCCACGCCGGGGCCCTTCTCCTTCGGGGTGCTTCGCCGCGGGCACCCAGAGGCAATCCTAGATCGAGAGGGCGACCTCGTGCATGAACTCCGCGGGGTCCACGCTGTCCCGCTTCTCCTCCCACCCCAGTCGGGCATCTGCTGGTGCGGGGGAAGCCGCGTCGGAGGAAGAGGCCCGCCAGGCCTCGCAGCCCTCGACCACCCCGCGGGGGGCGGGCGCTCTCATCCCGCGTCGGTGAGGATCGCGATCACGGCGGAGATCGGGCCCACCACCTTGCGCCACCTCTTCTTGCCGAGCCCGACCGTCCGCCAATGGATCCCACGCCGCGCCTGCTGGATGCGCAGGTGGTGCTGCGTGCGCTCGAGCCAGAACCTCAGCCACTCGCCAACGCACTGGCGCCTCAGCTCCACCGCGGGGCCCTCGCCGCCGAGGGCGGCCGCCAACGCCGTGGCCGGGCGCCTGCCTGGCAACTTGGCCACCGCCAGCCTGTGGCGCTCGGCCGCGCTGCATCGGTGCCTGCGACGGGGCCAGGCCCGCGATCTGGTGCCCGCAGGTGCCCCGCGGTCGGGGCCCAGGCGCCCAGAGGTCTTTCGACGCCTTGGCGAGCGATGCGCGCTTGCGGAGCCTGGGCAGGGTGCGAGACGCCCGGGCCTCAGCCCTGGCAGCCCTGGCCCGCGCCTTGGCGGTGGCGCGCCGCCTGGCGCCTGCCGCGTCGATGCCCAGGTCGACGCCGTCGCGACGCGCGTCCCCTTCGCCCGCAGGGCCACGTGCGCGGACAGGGCCAGGGTGCGGCTCGAGGTGATGGCGGGGTGGTCTCGGGCGAGACCTTGGGCTCGGCCTCCGCGAGTCCCGCGCAGAGGGCGCCGCCCAAACCCGCGAGGTCGTGGACCACCTGCTCCTCCGCGCCCTCGACTCGCGCCGCCGTATCGTCGACGAACGTCCGCGGGCCCGCGTAGGCGAAGTCGGTGTGCGCCCGCTGCAGGATAGGCCCGATGTGCGCCCTCGCAAACTTGCCCCCATGCGCACTGCCCGCGACGATAGAGCGCTGGGGGTCGATCACCTCGCTGGCCCAGCCGTGCATGCGCAGGCGCCGTGGGGCGGCGAATAGCTCCACCTCGAACGCGACCTCAATCGTGGGGAAATCTTGGTCGACGGCCACGTGCAACAGGCGCTGCAAGCTGCCGCTGTCGTAGAACTTCTCGATGTCCAGAAGCAGCGTCGCGATCGCGACGCCAAACTCTGCGCGAGTCTCGTCGAGGAGCGCCCGCGCCAGCGCGGCGCGAAACGCGCTGGGGCCTTTGGTGGCCGCGCCCCTCCCCCAGGTCTGCTGACCACTGGTCGGCGATCGGAGCACGGAGCAAGCTCCACACCTTGGGGGCCATCGCCAGCATGCCCCCGCGACGCGCTCGCCCCCCGATGGCGTGGGCAGCACCGCCCCTTCGCGGCGCGCACCTGCTGTGGCCGCAGCCCCGCCCGCTCGACCTCGTCGAGGAGATCGGCGAACTGCTGGGTGCCTGCCTCGGAGGGCCTATGGATGTCAGCGGGGCCGATGTTGTCGACGCCCTTCGCTTTCTTGGGGCTGGCCACCGCGACCGCCGCTCGGACCTGGTCCGCCGTGATATCGTCGAGCGGTCTGTCCAGTGCCCTCGCGGGGATCTCCGCGTGGGCCTGGTAGAGGGCCTCCTCGTCGTGCGTGGGCGTCTCCCAGATGCCGTTCCGCGTGTCAGCGGCCGCGTGCGTGGTGGGCGACGGCGCGCCTAGCGTGACGCCGCCGTTCGTGGTCTCGAGCTTGGGCGGTCTCGGGTTCTTGACGATCCCGCGGAGCTTGCCCGGGCTCTCCTTCCAGGCCGTCTTGGCCCACTCGAGGGGCCGCTTGCGCGATCGGGCGGGCGCCCGCCCCATCGCCCTGTTGGCCCAGAGCTCGGTGGTCGCCGCAATGTAGGCCAGGTCGTCGTCGCTGCAGAAGTCGAGCGTCGACGAATTCATCTTCCACTCGTCGGTCTCGGCTGGGTTGGTCTTCGGCCCGAAGTAGTTCGCCTGGAACTCCGCGTTCTCAAGCTGGTCGGTCTTGGCCGATACGGACTTGGCCACCATCAGGCGCGCGTGGGGGTCCTTGCCGTTCTTGACCAGGGCGGTGTACCTGGTCAGCAGCGAGGTGACGGTCTGCCACCGTGCGGCTAGTAGGTCACGTAGGTGAGGCCTACCAGGGGGTGTCTTTATGGTCGCGGTGACCGCCCCGCACCCCTCCGCGCGCCCAATTTTCCTCGGCTGCTCTTCGACGAAGATCTGGCGCGCCCCGGGGATCGCGATCTCCACTGCGGCGGCCCCCTGGGCGCGGGGCGCGTTGACGACCCAGGCCGCCTCACCGCGTCGGCGGTGGACCCAGTGGCCGCGCCCGCGCCGAGTGCCGACTCGCACGCCGTCGAACTTAGGGGGGGCCTTCGCCGTGCTGGAGGGCGCCTCCCAGTCCCCAGCGGACACTGTGAACAGGGTGTCGTGCACTAGGGGTGGGGAGGGGGGGCTTGGTCTCGGTGTGGATCTCATGGAATTCTTGGAGGTGTTCGGGATGCCTGTCCCTGCGCCGTTGCAGTGCCTTCGCCTTGGGCTTGGGCCTCTTGCTGTCAGGGCCCGCTGCCCGCTTAGGCCGCGCGCGCAATTGTAGGGCACGCGGCGCCTTCAGGCACTTCTGCTGCCAGGGCTGGTCAGCCCCGAGCGTGATCTCGATGGCGCAGTGGGCCTTCCAAGGTACTTGGTAGACGGCCTGCAACTTGAGGGCCCCCGCGACGCCGCTGCGAGCGATGCCGTAGTCGTAGATGGGGCCCTTGCCCTTGTCGCGCGTGACGGTGCAGCCATCGGGTGCAAGGGTTGAAGCATTCCACTGCACGGGCCACGGCTTGTCGGCCCACCAGGGCGGCTCGTAGTTCCAGTCCGCCAGTGCCAGCCATGGGTCCTGCGCCATGTCCAGGAATGTAGCGAGGCCCGCGAGGATTTCGCGCTTGCCCTCCTGATCGCGGAGCCCTGGCCTGAGGTGCGCCGCGATGACGACCAGGTTGCCGTGCGCAGTGTGCAGCGCGCACGGCGAGGCCGCGATGTCCCTTCTGGCCAGGGCCCGCCCTCCTCCATGCGTGCCGTGCTGAGACTTGTGAGTGGCGATCGCAGGCGTCGCTGCAACCTTGCAGCCATCCGCAGCCAGCGGGCCCTTTCACCGCGTCAAGGTTACACGTCGACACGTGCGTCTCCGCCAGCGCGAGCACGTGGTATCGCTTGCCCTCGTCCCTCGCGAAGGCGGCGGCTTGTGGCCCCCACTCGGTAACGTTGCCGAACAAGATCGTGGGCTTCATTTCCCACTTGGCGCGGGGCTTGCTAATGCCGCCCTGGGCGAGGCCAATTGGCGCTAGCACCGGGAGCCTTGGCGCCGCTGCCGCCACCACCCTGAGCGGCTGTGCGTGCCTGCTGGAGCGCTTCGGCGGCCGCGCGGATGAGCTCGGCGGCGGTCTGCTTGTCCGCCTCGGACGGCTCGTCGGTCGCCAGGGCCGCGTGGCCGCTGCTGCTTGCGGCGCCACCCGTGGACATGGGGGTGGCAGGGGCCGCAGGTGGGGTAGGTGGGGCGGCTCCATCGTCGTCGGCAGCAGCCGTGTCTTGTCCTCCATCAGACCCTGGCGCTGCTTCGCGCCTTAACGCGGTTGTCGAGGTCTACGTTCCACTCCTCCATCTCATTGCGGGTCTCCTCGTCGTAGACCGAGAGGTCGGCCCGCAAGGAATCGTCAGTGGTGAAGGTCTCGTGCGCCCGCGGGACCACGCGGGAGATGCAGAGCTTGACCTTGACCGCCTCCTGCGCTTTGGCGCAGTCAACCTGCGCCTCGACCAGATCGAGCGCCGCCTGCTGCTGCTGCTGCTGCTGCTGCTGCTGCTGCTGCTGCTGCTCCCCAAGCGCGGCAAGCCAGTCCTTGGCGTCCGCGACGTCCTCAACGAGCTTGTCGAGGCGAGCCTTGCGGTTGCTGAGGATGGCGAGCGCGGACTGCAGCGTCTGCTCCTCCGACTTGGTGGCGGCGGGCGGGGAAGCGGGCTTGAGCGCTGCCTGCAGAGGAGCGAGCAGCTGCTTCTTGGTGCCGTCGTCACCGATGAGGTTGGCCAGCGCGTCGAGGACCTGATCCGTCGTGAGGGCCTTCTGCTGCTCCTGCTGCCGCCGCGGGGGTGGCTCGCTTGCCCGAGCACCAGCAGGCCGCCGATGTTCCCCAGGCGTCGGGGCAAGGCGCTTGCTGCAGTGGAAGCAGTCCGACGTCTCCTTCCACGTCCAGCGGTAGCGACACTGCTTGCAGACCGTGTGCCACTTCGCCAGGACGATCCTGGGACCGAGGCCGCGCCCTTCGTCGCCGCCCTCGTCTCCCTTGCCCGCAGCCCCAGCCGCGCGTCGGGCGCCCTTGCCGCCGTTGGCGCCGTCCGCCATGGCACCGACTCCCTCGCGTCGGGCGAGGGCGGGATCTGGAAGTGGGCGGCGGCTCGCCCTTCAGGTTGCTGCAAAAGCACGGAGTGAAATCTGGATGGGAGCCTACCCCGCTGAGGCAGTGTTGGAAGCGCCAGTTGACCTTGAGCGAGAATGGCTACCGAGGGAGGAGGGAGGAGGAGGAGGAGGAGGAGGAGGAGGAGGAGGAGGAGGAGGAGGAGGAGGAGGAGGCGGAGGAGGAGACGGCGGAGCAGGCGGAGGAGGAAGAGGGGGAAGAGGAGGAGGAGGCGGCGGCGGCGGCGCCGTCGTCGTCGTCGTCGTCGTCGTCGTCGTCGTCGTCGTCGTCGTCGTCGTCGTCGTCGTCGTCGTCGTCGTCGTCGTCGTCGTCGTCGTCGTCGTCTCGGTCGGCGCCGCAGCCGCCCCAGGCTCCACCCACACGGGCCGTGCCGTGCGGGGATCGCCGGGGCGCTCGAGGCCCCGCGCGGGGGGGGGGGCCGCGGGGCCCCCGGCGCCCCCGGCGCCGTCGCCGACGTCGCCGTCGTCGCCCTCGCCGTCGGCGTCGTCGGCGTCGTCGTCGTCGTCGTCGTCGTCGTCGTCGCGGCTCTCCTGCTCTGTCCTCGGTCGTTCCCGTCGCCCGCCCCTCACCCTCCTCCTTCCCTCCCCCGTCCCTGACTCCCTGCCCTCCCTCTTTCCCTCCAGCGCTCCTTCCTGCCTGCTTCTATCCCTCCCCTCCCTCCCTCCCCTTCCTCCCTCCCCTCCCTCCCCTCCCTCCCTCCATCACTGCACGTTACACATGCTGCTCTCCTCTCTCCCTTGACCCTGTCCAGAAGTTGTCCCGCCCTCTCCGCGTACTGCTCGCACACACAGGACTTCAAAAGCTGGTCTTCTTTATATGTGTTTGTTCCCATCCGATCGTTTTCGGCCCTTCGAAATTATGCTCCCGCTGCAGCGCTGGCCTCATCTCGGCGCTTCTGGGCTCCCCGCTGCAGCGTTGGTCTCATTTCCGCGCTATCGGTCCCTCCGAGTTGTGCTCCAGTTGCAGCGCTGGCCTCGTTTTCGCGTTTTCGGTCCTTCCGAATGGTGCTCCCGCTGCAGCGCTGGTCTCATCTCAAAATGGTCGGTCCTCCACATGGTTTTCCGGCTGCACCGTTCATGCAGGCATGATATACAAGTCAATGTTCTGTTGTGTGCCGCAATTGTGCGATGCCATGCCTTGTTCTACACTGCTGTGGTATGCAGCGGTGAGCTTCGCAGTGCCATGCGATGCAATGGCATGCCATGCCATGCGACGCTATCTTATATACTGCTATTCGATGCCATGCCTTGCGCTGAAATGCTATGATATGCAATGCTTGAGTACGCCACGCTATGCCATGCTATGCATTGCGTACCCTTTGGGGATCGTTGTCCTCTTCGACATTCGACTGCGTTGATAGATTGGTAAGGGAAGGGAGAGAGGGGACGTCAGATATGACGCGAGCGCACCTAGCTAGCTCCCACCCTCTCTCCCTCCCTCCTCCCTGCCGCCTCCCCTCTCCTCCTCCTCCTCCTCCTCCTCCTCCTCCTCCTCCTCCTCCCTCCCTCCCTCCCTCCCTCCCTCCCTCCCTCCCTCCCTCCCTCCCGCCTCCCCTGCACCACCTGTGGGCTGATACTGGAGGCTTGCATCGCCTCGACTCCTTCTCCTCCCTCCCCCCTCCTCCCTCTTCCCCCCTTCCTCCCCTCGGCCTCCCTCTCCGTCCACGTCGTCGTCGCCGCCGTCGCGGTCGCGGTGGTGGTCGTGGTCGTGGTCGTCGTCGACGCCGACTTCCCCGTCGTGGCCTTCGTCGTCCTCTCCGACGCGAGGCCCTGGGCACTGGCGGCGCGCCTCGGGCCAGGGTCGTCGCGGCAGCGGGCGCCTCGTGGGCGTGCCTGCCGGGCAACTTCACGGAGGCCGGGCGCGACCGTCGTCGTCGCCGTCGCCTCCGCCGTCGCTGGCGCCGTCGCCGTCGCTGCAGACGCATGCGGACGAGGGCAGGATGGAGGAGGAGGAGGAGGAGGAGGAGGAGGAGGAGGGGGAGGAGGAGGAGGAGGGGGAGGGGGGGGAGGAGGGAGGGGAGGGAGGAGGAGGAGGGGGAAGAAGGGGGGAGGAGGAGGAGGGTGAGGATGAGGATGAGTTCGCTTCTCCGGCGCGCGACGCGAGCGGCCCGCGTGGCTTTCTCGCCCCAGCTGCGCGCGACCGAGAGTGTCGAGAGTGTGCACCGATGCGCTCAAGATTGCAGAGTCGTATGCTAGACAAGCGTGCTCCACTCGCAAGGTAACTACTCGCAAGTGGCCCAGATCCGCCGCGGGGGATCCACGAGCGCGTCGAGGCAGACGGGCGTGCCGTTTGCGAGCAGGCGGGCTGGCCGTTTGCAGGTAGGCACTCTGCGAGTAGTGGAGCGCGCTTGGTCGTATGCGCAGGTCCTCCGAGCTGGCTCTGAAGACCCAGCGGTAACAACGGTCCCGCTGTGAGGAGAAGGAGGAGGAGGTGGAGAAGGAGGAGTAGGACGAGGAGAAGGATGAGGAGGAGGGGGAGGAGGATGAGGAGGACGAGGAAGAGGAGGAGGAGGAGGAGGAGGAGGAGGAGGAGGAGGAGTGACCAGAAGTGACCATGAAGGGACGAGCGTCCACAAAACAAAACGGGTTGAGCGGGGACTAATCAGACGATGAGTCCCCGCCATCACGGTGAGGGATACAGATGGGTCGGCGGGCCACACCGCCCACTCCTCCCTCACACAAAGGACGCTGCTGCATTCCCCTCTCCTCCCGAGCCTCCCTCGCACGTTGGACCGCATCCGAAGCTACACGCTGCACACTGGCCAGCTGCACAGCCTTCGGGGGTCCCCTGTGCGAGGGAAAAATGCCTCGACGGATCCTGTCAAGGTTCTGGGCTCCTTTGGGGGAGGGATCCTGGCAGGGGCGTGCGAGCCACCTGCCATCCACTGTGGCGGTAAGCCCACAGCAAACACAAAAATGCAGGGAAAACTCAGGCCAGTAAAAGATTTTGTGCGACGAGTGGGCCGAAGTGGCCCCAATCAAAATCTCACCAGTCCTCAAGACAAAATGGCTCCACTCGGACTTCTGGCCTCGGACCTCTGGGGCCAGACCTGGACAAGCCTGGGCACAGAACTTGAGAAGCTGGGTAGAAGCTACAATCTGCCTGCAAACCCTACAGCGCCATCTGTTCCCGACCTGCTCACAATCGTGAGTGGTATCCCTCAGGGCAGCAGCCTTCCTGGAGGGGGGGGGAGCCCGCACTTTGGCGAGCCTAGTGGCCTGCCAGGGGTCGACCTGAAGTGAGCACAGCAGCGCACGTCTGGCCCTGCGTCTGACGAGGTGGGCAATGCAATCATAGATGTCTGTACTGGGGGCAGGCTGGCGAGTATACAGGAGCGAGGACTCGTCCGCCGCTTTACCCGCTAGGTCATCCGCGCACATGTTGCCAGCAGTGAGGAAAGCTTGCCTAGCACTGAGAGCCCTGCCTGTGTCCTCAAGATGGGCAGCCGTCCACACGACCTGTACTTCAGCCACACCTCGATTTCGCAACGCCACCGCCACCCTGAACCACAAGTCTTGATTCGGGCCTAACTTGCCGTGGGCACGACCCGCTCTCCAACCATCCAGGACAGGCTGGCAGTCAGTGACATAAATGATGGGTCCCGTGGTTTCTTCCAGAGCGATGGCGAGCGCAGCTATCTCCGCGCGCGACACCGTCTGCCGCGGCCCCAGGAGGGGGGAAGAGACACCCGAGACAGGCTCCCAGGAACCATCGTCAGCCCGCCGAATAAAGGCAACTCCTGAGCCACATCGCCTGCGTCTCGGGTCGCTGCTGTATTTCCCCCCTGACCCATCACCAAAAATGTGGGGAGGGTCCTGGCCAGGGGCTACACAAAACTCACTGAGGCGAGAGGAGCCGTAGTACGTAAGAGGAGGGGCCTCGAGAGGG